GTGGACCAGGGGTGCGGAGTGGAGCGCCAAGGCGAAGATCCGTCCGAGCCATCCACCTGCGGTCTCCCTCGTCTCCGGTCTTCTTGACTCTGTCTTGACACCGGGCCCAGGCGGGGGAGGAGGAGAGAGTGTAGGTAGATGCTGCGCAAGTCTACCGGCACTATAAACCCCTGCGCAAGTCACCGTCCCTGCTCCCACCGCTGCTGCAGCTGTGGGGCACACGGTGGACATCGTCGAAATCGACGGTCGAACTGTCGTCGTGTGTGTGTGTGTGTGTGTGTGTGTGTGTGTGTGAAAGATCACCTTCATCGTTTCGCACAACCACTTCTTTATTTGTTCTAGAGTTTAGTTCACGACAACTGCGAAAGTTCATACGTGTAAAATATATTTCCAGTGCCGGGAAATTTCCTGGAAATGTATAAGTTGTGCGTAGACGAACAAGCAGAGGCACATATTCGAAATATACAGCAGAGCACCAAAAGCGTTGTTCAAATTCAAACAAAAGAACCAGATAATTGCACCAAATGTAAAGGAGACGACAAAAGCGGAGCACCAAGACAAAAAAGTTAAAAAAACAGCTAAGCGATTCAGCTGGTAAACTAAAAGTCAGACGGCCGCTGTCTCAAGTAACTCGAATTGGAAGTTGCGCACAGACCGGGGCAATCATCAGGCGCCGCATGATCATACTCAGAAACGCAGCATCGCAGTGGGAGTGCTTAGACTTTGCCTTGACAGAGTATTTAGTTATGCGAGAGGCCGGTGGAAGAGCGCCGCATCATCCAGAGGCAGAATTGTGCCGTCTGTAAATTCCGGGACTTCTATTGTCTGTTACCTTTTATGATGGGTTTGAAAGAGGGTCCGAAATATTTGACGAATAGAGTTCGTGGTTCACTGCTCGAGTATGCTTCTTTGATGATTCATTCTGAGTTATTTCCTCGCGGTTTCTGTTCATTTGTCATATAGATGGGAAGCACATTTTGCTGCGGATTTTGACTTACTGTTTTTACAAGCCCTGAAGCAACATAATTTTTATCTCAAAAAATTCAAATGGAAGCGCTGGTCAAAGTAGTCCGATAAAATTGACGTCATGGATTTCTGTAGCACGGTTTTTAAAAGTGTTTTTAAAATCAGGGCATTATAAGACTACAATTTATGGGGAGAATGTCAAACATAGGGACAAAGGAGTCATTCTGGTAGGCACCGGTCGGCCACTCGATCCTCTCAAAAGAACCATCTTCGTAGACGCAGAATACACCAAAATAGTCAGACCAGTGAAGACAAAGTCGGCACATCAGGCTAATGATAAATATTAGCACAAGCCCTGCTAAGAGGATCAAACGCCTACAGAAAAGTGCCATTGGGAGACGAGTTGAACTTGGAACCAATATGACTTCTGAAGGGCTGGCTGGCAATAAAACGTCTCCATTTTGATGTTCCGGCACATCTAAAATAGCAATTATTTCAACGTATTTTTGAGAGTGGTCTTCACAACACAAAGATATTGTTAATTGGAGTATTGTTTCAGATGGCAGTATTTGCAAAATTGCTAGTTTTTTATCGGTGAGAGGGGAAGCTCATATATGGTTTTGTTTTTGTTTCCTACTTGCCTTCGGTGATACAACCCGAAAGGTCAAATGTATGCTGAAATACCTTTATTAACCACAACAACGCTATCTTCCTGCGTCTCGGACATTTTCTTCTTATTCCCCAATGCCACAGTTTTTTAGCTTAGCTATTTTTCAACTGTACTACAAAACTAGCAAAACCGCAAAATGTCAGCTGTGAATCGGAATCTAACAGCCGACAACGTCATCCAGGAACTCTGATCGATTGCTGTCTCCGTTAAGAGAAAATTTTCGGCCGAATGATTCACACATTTTCACTGTTAAAAGTAATTTAAATTGAATCTAGTTGTTGTAGATTGTGGCCTACCTCGAGCGTTTTACACATCGTTAAATATACCTTTATATAGTCCAGAATGCAAGATTGTATTCGTATGAGTAGATGCACCTTATGGCACTGACAGCTGAAAGGATGCTATAAGTTGGTCTGCACTTGTTGTCCCTTCCCATCGCCGTCTACACAGGTTGTGAAATGCGCGGAGCCGACTGCTTGCACATCGTACTAAGATTATCAGAAATCAGGCATTAATCAGTGACTGTTAACCATATTAGACCTCGGACGTGATGAAAAGGTTTCTGCAGGACGAGTGCCATCCAGAAACTACCTGTGTAAGACGAAATAATGGCGCTAAAACTAAGGCGTTTACAATTCAATTTTCTATGCAAAGCTTGTTTCACTAAACGCCAACTGAGTTTCATAGCTTTTCAGAGCGACATACTGGCCTAATTTTATAGGGCAAAGTAAACTGGACCTACAAGAAAGCGGTCCTGGTTTTTCTGCTTCAATCATGGCATTCTGACGTTCTACGCAGTTGCTCGACGCTCTAACACCGTAACTGCGTAAAAACGTAACTGCCGTAGTGACCAGAGTTGTTCGAGAATCAGTCTCATCAACGACCGGAATCTCACCAGACGGTAGTCGTTCCCTTTCCAGAGAGATGTGGGTTCTTGCAATTGCCTATTGTTGGAAATGAAAAGCCGTGTCTGCAGAACGAATTGTAAGGGAAGTATCTAAGAAAAATTTGGACACATTTTCATTGTCACAAGCCAGGTTTCAGGCAAATGAGCCTTTTGAATACACTCATATTTTGTTCTCCAAGAGAAATCTGCTTTAATACACATAGTAACAGTTTAAATGAAACCATAAAAAGACCAGAGGCAGACGGAATGCTATGGAAATATTATCATCAGCTTTTCGACGAACTGACCGTGCAAGGTTATAGACCACCGAAATGATGAGATGTCTTTGTTTTCTGCCTGAATCTTTAAATGTTGCGCAGATGTCGCTGAAACGCTTTTTTCCAACTCTGAACTTTTGGCGTTAACTTTTCTTGATATGGGCTAAGGAACTAAATCTTTTATTTCTTCCTGAATTTATTTACGAAAAAACGTTAGTTTTCTTCGCTTCGTCCTTATGAGATCTAATACTCCTCTTTTATTCCATTTAAAAACTGCTGAAAAACCGTCAATTAGCTTATGTAAAAAATCATACCTTGTTTTGTCCGCGGTTTTCTCTCCGTTGGGTTTAAGATTTGCTGTGAAAAGTGCGGTAGCTTACTATGAGAGACTTGCGGTCGATTACTCTTTTTTAAGAACCCCTTTTTACGTTGCTTTACGGGATTTTTGACTCGTAATCAGAAAAGAGACAGGAGGATAGGAAAAAAATCACAACTTTTCATTTCACAATAAATAAAATATACTGCGTTTACTTAGGAACAACAATCTACAAACACATCGTTTAGACATAATTCAACAAAGTATTTAAGCAGATGTTTATACTTGTGGACACCTTAGTTACTAGAAAATTCCAGTTGAAAGAAAGACGCTCATGCATAAACTTTCGTGAATGTACCTACTAAATTATACGTATGCTGATGAACATAGTGAATAGGTTACAGCCTCTAGCGCATTTTTCTTTGGTTATGGCCTATTCTCAAATCGATACTAACAGGGTGTGGACACTATATTGGAAGTCCGAACATATGATTTCGTAATTTGACTATGAATTCGTTAAGCAGCATACCGAAAAGTGAAAAATACTGACAAAATTGAAGAAAACGTCCACAAAAACATTTACGGTTAGAAAATTTCCACCAAGAAGGAGTCAATGCACGTTGTTATTTTAAACAATGCGAGAGATTTAGAAGAGGGTAAGTACGACTTATTGGATTTTTCGGAAGTTCCTGCACTGTCAATCTTCTAAGGTACTTGGTGCGAAATAATGGCGACAGGGGATACAAATCCACTAATGATACCTAAAGTTCCTACTTGAGGTAGCGTTTTGTCTTACAAAAGTGATAGTAATAGGTAATAAAGTTCTCACCAGTTCCACTTGACGTTGCCAGTTGATATTAAAACAGACAGCTGTGTAGGCGACCGCCTCCACAAAACTACCCATTGCCAGAGCCCACCAGAGACCTAAAATCCGTAATAATTAAAACGCTAAGACAAATCTCAACGTAGATTCACAATATGAAGAAAGAAACGATTAAATTTTACTAACTCTACAAACACGCGTATGCGGGGTATATAACCCTCCTGGGTGTTTGTTCAAAAATCCAACTTTATCCTTATTTGGATACAGCAGGTGTGCTAACTCATGAAATTTTAACCGCAATTCTTAAATGCGTTTTCCTTTCGAAAAGATCACTGAAGGAGGGCTTTAAAATTAAGTACCTAGCAGCATAAGTAGATAGTGATTTAATTACTTCGGGATGCCGGCTCACGAACGTGCTTCTTTCTGGCCGCATGCAATAACCACACTCTGCAGAAAATGACTACCTATATAGCATAAATTTAACTCATTGAATTTCGATTATTTTAAAAACGTAACTACGTTTTGTGCAAAACATGCATAAAACTATTCATTCTTTTACACATTTCCAGAAAATGACGTCTTCTTCCTATTTTATACTCCAAGAAAAGGTATAAATCGGTTTTCAAAAACGTTTCCAATTCCTGAGTAATTTTAGGTTGTACCTTCCATTAAGATTCCAGTCAGGGTTTACAAACTACAAGCCGCATATTTTTCACGCACGGAAAACCATACATTTACTTGCGATATGAAAAGGAGATTATATGGGTTTTGTAAAATTTAGCAGTGGATTTGAGCCACATTGCAAGCATTAAAGTCACATTGGTAAATGCAGAGACACGATGTTTTATGAACGGCCATTTCACTTTATTAAAAAGTCTCATAATTATGAACTTTTGAAAGACCAAATTATACCCTTTCCTCGAGTATACAATTTAAAGAAGACGTAATTTTCTACCAAAGGAGTAAACGAATGAATACTTTTATGCATGTTTTGCATAAAATATGATTTAATATTTTAAATAATCGAAAACCGAAGTGAGGAATTCATGCTATTTAACCAGTCATTTCTACATATTGCGGTTTTTGCATACAGCCGAAAAGAAGCTTGTTCGAAAGCCAGCGTCTCGAAATGGCGGATTCATTGTATAATTGTGATACAAGTTGATTAATTTTGCAACCCTAATTAAGTAAGCCTTCGGGAACGAAAACGCATTTAAGAATTTCGGTTAAAATTTCATGAGTTAGCACATTTACTGTAAACGTGATCCATAAAGGTTTGCCTAACAAAAGGTCGCTAAAGGAGCTATGTGACACACGGGTTTAGACCTTTCCTTGCTTTAATGCCGTCAACGTTGCCTGTTTCGACCTCAAAATTAGGGTTGGTACTACGGCAGGGGTTTAGGTTATTGTTAGGAGTCGGATTATTCTTAGGTCTAGGGTTGCTGCGCTTCGGTTGTGGTTTGGATTTAGGGTTTGGGAATAGGAATGGCATTGTTGGTTTTGAGTTGAGGTCGTACGGTAAGAGTTGGGATCAGGGTCAAGGTACGGGTTTTAGGGCTTGGATTACAATTATTGTTGCGTTCTAGCTTCCCTGAAATGATTTAAGGTCAATGGTTAGGGTAACCCATCACAGACATGGTCACCGTTGACGTTAGTGCTGTAGCTAATAACAGTTGCCTAGCTGGATAACATACCACACCCCTGCCGACAAACGGATATAATTTTTCAAGACTGCCCAAATTATTAAAAGAGGAAGAAGAAGATGAACCGCAGGAACAAAAAGTATATTCTCCCGATCCGATTAATAGGTTAAAGCCATCGGTGGATATGGTAATACCGTACTCCACACTAACTAATAGCGCGTATGGTCGCATGTCTGTGCCTTGTCCACGTATCGGTTGGACGCGGTGGCCTGCATTGGTGGGAAGGAAACGTCACTTTTCTAGTAAGGGCAATTGTCATAAGCCTTAATACTGACGCCCTTGGTTGCCTCGCCGCCAGCGTTTACATTAACTCCCTCGTCCGTATGCGTCTTCTTCCCCATGTTCGGTATCTAGTTCATCATTATGCTCACCCAAGTGCTTGGCATCCATTACCTCGGCGCCTGCTGAGTCACGGCTTCCCCTATAACTCCAGCGCCGCCTCACCTCACCCGCATGCAGGCACCCCCCCCTTTCCTCTCCTTCTTCCCCTTAATCAGCTAATGCGTAACGAAGGAGCCTCCACCTATGCCCACACCAGCGCATTCATCAAGAGAATTCTACATTTCCGTCTTTTTCTTTTTATCTCAGATGTTTGATAAAGCCACCTCCCCTCGGCCGCATCTTGTTATTAGAGGACACGTTATCCTATGTTGGGTGTGGCTTTTATCATCTTAAAACATACGCACACTACCGACCGTCTTTTCTGACTCGGCGTGGCGGGCGCATTGACGGTAACCTACTATGGCGTGTTCGTGGTCTCCTAATAGTTTCTCCTATTTGCCTTGGTTGACTGTAGCTTCATCGGACTCAAGAAAAAATATATGAGGTATCGCCTCCATTGGAGTCATGATACCTCCAGAGTGTCGCTTCAGGCCCCTCTGCAACGCCAATCACCGGAAGTCGAACAACGGCGTCTGACTGCTTTGGATACCTGTCAGTTTTTGCTGCTTTGCCCCTCGTTCCGGCACAGAATGCTTCCAATATTTTACATTGAGCTCGCACACAGTTGTGTTGCCACGATGAGATTAAATTTTTGTATTAACTCAGGATTTAGTCTGTGTTAGTGCCCTTCCTGCGCACCGTCCTCATCGGTATCTCCTTATCCTTCCGACTGAAGAGGACGTCCAGGAACGTCAGCTACTTGCTCTGCTCACACGTTTTGGTCAAGTGAATTGTAACAACACCGGTGCGGAAATTCAGTCATCAAAGACTCTGCTGAGACATTCAAGTGGTCATCGCACAAAATGTTAACATCCTTGCGAATACGGAATCTGCTCATTTACTGGATGAATGGTGACAACATAATCGGTGTGCTTCACCGCGAAAGGTAGATGTGCGCTTTTTTGAACAACCTTCGGAAAATAAGGCTTTATTTGCCGCTAACATTTAAGTCATAAAGGATTGAGTTACAGTCATGAGAACAAAGTGATTTTTTGCATAGTGCATTGGCATGGAGGAGGTTTAGTCACGCATATCCACATGTTGGAAGTCAATTTCCTGGTAAGTGGGCAAATGCTGCCTATGAACTCTGTCCTATATATTAGTTTAGACGAATTTATCTTTCCCTATGATCTTGATCATTTGGACTGGTTAGTTGGGGTTGACTAATGTCCCCAAAAAGCCCTTTGCATCTTTTGTCCAAATATTGTTCAATCCGACAGAACTTTGAACGAGTGAAAATTAGCTTGATATGATCAAAATAAAAGCCAGTTCTTTTGTCTAACCTGATAAAAAAGAAAATACTTTACACTCCGTTAGGAGCTCAGTTAAGACCAAGCACCGTCAAGAAAGGCGCATAGAAATTATTTGCACACGGAAGAAATAAAAAGGAGCACAGGGCTTCTTTTCTTGTACTCAAAGCTGGCACCGGCTCAGTACCCTCCTTGTCCGCTTTCATAATCGTAAATCTGGATTTTTTCGAAATTAACTGCACTTATTTAGTCCAATCCCAGATTAACACATTCGTATCAGTCTAATTGCGGTGTCTAGTAAGACCTTGTCGTTGTCGACACAGTCAGCTGTAAAAGATGATAATACTTACGTGCACAGATCTAACTGTAGGCTACTGGCTGCCTTGTGTCTACCTGTATAGTTTGTAAGCTGCTTTAAGGGGAAGGTTAGGAGTTAGAACAAAGAAATATACGGAAACTTTGTACAAGTTAGAAAATCTCCGTCGGTAGATGCATTATGTCCGACTGAAGATACCATGCTAAATATACGGGTATATTTTATTGCCTTAGATGAATATTATTTAATGAGACCTTTTCGCGAAACCTGCAAAATTCAACTAAATCCTTTAGATTTATTAAACTGAAACGCTCGGAACTTAGAGGAGCAGCCCATTTGATGATCTATCTGAATAACATGTATTATGGTCACTTTTCGTATAAGAGCATTCTGCTATGGTAGGGGTTCATTTCAGTTTTCGGAGATATGTGCATTTCCATCTAATCACCCACTTTATTTTTTATTTCAGAAAAAATTACTACTGTTATATACATGTAATTTTGCAGACACGGGTCATTTTGAATTTGGAAGAAAACTGGAAACTGCTTACCCCGAAGACGTAACGGCGTAAGAAAGAGGAGGCAGAGTCCAAGCGGCTCAAAAATCAGGTAGAGTGTCACGAAGCAAATTAATGCACCCACAGTTTGCATCCCAGAGCCGCGAACGATGCCGCATCCCGCGCCCTGTGCATTTACAGGAAATGCAGGAATTTAACGCTAGTAACCGTGTCCTTTGATATAGGGCAAACATCAGGAATATTCAGAGAACATGGCATACCATCTACATGTAGGGTGCCTGGAATCCGTTCGTTTGACATTATCAATAAAAGTGAACGAATCCATTGTTTTCCGTTTAAACTTGGCAAACGTAGAGACACTAGAGGCGGATTTTTTGTCCTTACTTTCAACATTATTCTTCACTAAGAGGTTCATGATAGAATAACAGCATGTCGCTTGTGTGCACTGAATTTTTTGAGTTTTTATTACTGAAAAGGTTAGTGTGTTCTCTGCGAAAAGCAGTGGTTCGGAAATTGAAATAAACTTTCCGGGAAGTGTGAGTTGTTTAGCGCCTGCAAGTTAGCAGTGCAGTAATAACCATGCATTTTCAGGTTAAAAGGCTTTTGATGATCCATATATTGCTTATTCCTACTGTTTCACAGAATCCGGATATGAACTGATTCGCATCCGCCTACCCCTTACAGGTGGTTCTACGAAGAGGATAAAAGCCCAGTGGACTTCAAGTGCTTATATTGGTGTTGCAGCTTAATGGATAGAAGTCTTACGGATTCGAACGGTTAGCATGGTTAACATTAAATACTTGAACAGTTAGTCTCCTATAAAATGTTGAGCAGTTGTTTATTTCCGAAATGAATAAAAAATATATGAGAGTGAAAATCTCTCTTTTAAAAGTCCGGCACCACAGTCTTACCACAAAGGCGTCGAACAATTGAAATACTACGAGGCACGGGAAGACCTCTGCTGTCAGCGATAAGACTGAACTGAAAAACAAATGATGACTTACGATAAGCAGCAAAATGAGTTTTCAGCAGCGCATTATGTTTGCTATTAACTGAAACTTTCTACGCCATCTGCTTTGCGGATTCCTAGCACCTCGATATGGGCGTGTAGGGTTTTTAAAATGCCTTTACACGGTTTACATAAGAACGCTCAAAGTAAAGAAAGTATGATAATTTATAGGTGTAAATTACAAAAAACGCAATCTTTTGGATCAAATATGCAGAGTCCTTACCATGTAATATTCCAAGAGGCGTCTTAAATGCCTTACGAGAAATGAGCTAATAAACCAATTAATCATGAACAATCTATACCATTATGAGTAATGAAAAGCGTCCACAGCATCGGAACAGCTTGTGTTATGCCATAAATCAATTCTTTCTCTATGGTATGGAGGTTCTGCTTTTCATGGCCAGAAAGTTCACTTGAGTTCCTACTGAATTATTCCTTTTAGTATGCTTATGGCGCTTAAAAATCTAAAAAAACTTAAGCGCTTATCCATGTAATAGTTTTCTAAAAAGGACTTAAACTGTTGATTTTTGCAGTTTTTGGTATTTCGATCTAATGAGCAAAAGAAAAGCACTGTTACCTTTGCCAGCCGTTCTTACCTGTCTGATGTAAAAATCTTGGGCAAATCGTATCGAAGTGCGAGAAATATAGTCGCGTTGGTTATTGAAGCAAAACCTGTAACAAAAAGACGTTCACGGAAACCACAGGAACCGTTACAGAAATGTTTGTCCGGAAAACTTCAAAAGCTGCGATCTAATTTGGGCAATTACTTCCGATAGGGACAAAATAAACGTATCCTCTAGTTTCATGACTTGACTGAGGACTTATCTCCTGACCTGTGAGGAGATTATAAGCACAAATATATAAGCAGTGTTTTCTTGGGATAAATTTGAACAAGGCGAAGGCGACAAAGCATGCAGAATTTAATGACGTCATAAGTTTCGAGACCTCTCATTCAGCTGCACACGGTCATTGCATAGTTATATTACAAGGCAAAACTGTTCAATCAACGATCGACCTAGAGAGCTAAAACGTGATAGGTAACCTGTGAACATGGGTCTAGTATGCGGGTGCATATGGTGAGGGGGGGAGGGGGAGAGAAGTCATCCAAGTATGAGAGAACTGGTGCGGCGTGATTTGGAGTGCAACGTGCGGGGAGCATTCAGTCATGCCGGGGAGTGGGGGGCGGGTGGGGGGCAAAATGACAGGGTGGACATGGGAACAGGGTTTCGTCCATAATCGATAATTACCATGGCAGTGCCAGGTTTATCACATGGTCCAGCTGCTTACAGAGTTCTGGTTTCCTCCTCCGTATTACAGCGGCCTCTGCAAAGCGCAAGAGACGCCCGGTCGTCGCCCGAAACAGGACCTTGAATGCAACCATTTGGTCCACCGTATGACCCGTGTCCAATAGGTGCTTTGTGATTGAGCTCCTGGGTACCTTATTTTCCGCCTTAAGTAGCCTTTTCGGCATGTGTTCAGCTGACCGAGCTGCCAATTGCCTTTGCGTGCGCCCGATGTACTTGCATCCGCAACTACATGTAAACTCATAAATACAGTTTGATGTGGCGTGCATAGGCAAAATGTCTTTAGCTAGTCTAACTGGGATGGCGATTGTGGTACTTATGAACAACAATTTAGAGGCGGCATACGTCCTTTCGATAGTGCACCGAAGTCGTCGCTTGATCACGTTTGACACATTATCACCCATGAAGGGGAGGTAGATGGTCACGGACTTTTTTGGTACAGATATTTCTTCAGGAGTTTCTTGTCTGGGATGGCGATATTTATCGATGAATTTCTCCGGATACCCGTTTGCAAGAAAAACGTTTTTTAGGAAAGTAAGCTCGCTATCGATCGTATCTCAGGAGCAGATTCTGGTGGCTCTATTGAACAGGCACAAAACCAAGTTCCGTTTCCTCTGAATTGGAACGAAACTGAGGAAGTGCATGTATTGTCCTTTCCAGGTGGGTTTTCGATAGATGGATCTCTGAATAGAGCCATCTGCTCGCCTACGTACAAGAATATCCAGGAAAGGCAGTGTGTCATTCTTCTCATGCTCAATCGTAAATTTGATCTTTGCATGTGCTTTGTTGAGAGCCTTGAGCAGTAGTTCTCCGTCGCCTGGGTTTTTGACTATAGCGAAGATTTCATCCACATATCGCCTATAGAATGAGGCTCGTTGTAAGTTCCAGGCTAGTTTTCGCTCTAGATAAGACATAAAAATGTCCGCTAGGACTGGCCCCAATGGACTGCCCATAGCTACACCATCGATCTGTCGATACAGCCGCCCGTTGAACAAGAACTGTACATTCTTTGTGCATATCTGTAGTAGTTCCCGCAGTTGCTCTGGTGGCAGGTGTGTTTCACCCGCATGCTCACAAATTATGTCAATTGTTTCATCCAGTGGCACGTTTGTAAACAGGCTCTGCACGTCAAGCGAGATCATGTGTTTATTCAGTAGATTCTGATGCTTAAGCTCATCTACGAAGGAGAAAGTATCTTTGGTAGTATAAACGGCAAGGTTGCGTCTGATTGGTTCGATTTGCTTCACTAACCATTGGGCAAGTTTATGTTGAGGTGAATTCCTCATTGATAGAATCGGTCGTAATGGTACCCCTGGTTTGTGCAATTTTGGCAGTCCATATAGTCTGGGAATATGCGACCCTACAGGCCTAAGACACGCAGCCATGTTCTCGTCTATTATTTGCTTTTCAAGTAACGATTTAACCTTTCTCCTAATAAAGTCTTCTAGCGCTTTTGTTTCTTCTTTCTCATGGGCTTTCGAGGAAAATTTGCTGGTGTCACTCAATATCGCTTCCATCTTTCTCACGTAATCAGTCTTGTTTAGGATCACGACCCCGCTTCCTTTGTCAGGTCTTGAGATGACAACTTCAGTAGTCTTACGTAGGTCAGTTAGGGCCGAGATGTGTTGTCTGGTTAGCAGTGAGCGTTGCGTAGTTGGGAAAGTTCTGTATTGATAGGCGATATCTACGAGTTTCGCTTTCAACCATCTCACATTGTCCTCTGACGTCGGTGTTAATTCCGATAATTGGTGATATAGGTCTTCAAATTGAGCCTCAATCTCCGTCGGATCTATTTTTCTTCTCGGCACACAAAACTTAAGTCCTAAAGAGAGGGCCTCGGCTTGCAGTTTAGTCAGTTTCAAATTCGACATGTTGACAATGTAGTCATCTGGATTTACTGGAAACGATTCGTCTACGGGTTGTCTATTTAGCGACTTCATCAGATCAGCGTGGGACGATTGTCTTACTTTAGCTTGCAAGTTTAGAACGTATTTTGTAAACAATAACAAACACATTGGACTCACCGAGTCCATCACATGCTGTGACTGGTCTAGTTGGCAGCGCAGATTTGAGAGTGAGTATACGCATTCCTCCATTTTCGAGAGGGCGAGACGATCAACGTTTTGTAGTGTGGGCCGCAGGCCATCTCTCTATCACGTTTTAGCTCTTTAGGTCGATCGTTGATTGAACAGTTTTGCCTTGTAATATAACTATGCAATGACCGTGTGCAGCTGAATGAGAGGTCTCGAAACTTATGACGTCACTAAAGTCTGCATGCTTTGTCGCCTTCGCCTTGTACAAATATATAAGTTAAAATGGAATGACCCTAAAACTACTTAATTTAGTTTGTAGCTTGTACGATTTATTTTAGGGCTGTACTAAGCAGTCAGGCAAAGAAGTTCGGTTAACATAAGGGACGGAGAAAGAGCCCGCATTCAAACGAAGTTTTAGCAATCCTAGGGGGAAATTTTCTTCAATCACAAAAAACTAGATGTTGAAGTTTTAGCTTCAGTTTTAGAAGCTTTCGGGGATATTGCACAATGGCAGATTCAATAAAGATATAATTATACTGATTATAAAATCACGCGCAGATATTTTTAAATCGATCAGATATAATTTTACCATAGTTTTTGCTCTGACGCCTTAACTGAGACTATCCTCCTTGCGCTTCAAAGAGAAGTGGGATTGACTTTGTAAACCTACATGAATCCTGCCGGGCAGGTACAATTAATGGATGTTTTACCGTGTCTGACAGCGTGGTTCATTATAAGAAATAGCAAGGCTACCGACTAAAGGAGCCTTGACGACTGTGTTTATATTTTTGGCGAAATGTTTATGCCTACAATGTAACTCCGAGTTGAATATACGGCTGTAGACCTCGCATACAACACTTTGCGTGTCACCAGTTTATGGGCAGAATAAAATGAACCCCAAAGTCCTCAGCAAAGCTCCAGAAATTGGTCCACTGGAAAGGCATTAGAACTTGATTTCCCTCAAAACAATTGAACTAGTTTCTAATTTCGGATCAGTCTGGCCAGTTGTTAGGTTATGGTTGTTGGAGATGATGAAAATGTCATTAGTGATCGTCTCCGTATTGTCGTTTTCATACGAATATGAAGTGACTCTACTACCAGCGCCCGTCGCAAAGCTGGGCCTCGTGTGGGTGCACGCACGTGCGCACCAGGACTGTCTGCAGTTCGCCCACTCGACTTTGCAACTGGCCAATCATTTTCAGAGCCGAGTCAGACCCCCTGGCTTACGACGCTTTGACGCATTCCCTGATGAGGGGACTTAGGACGCCGCTCTCCCGGCGCCGAGCATGTCCTCGTCCGGCTGCTAACTCTCTCCAACCATTTTTTCCTGTTATTCTGTACAGAATCAACAGCCCTCTCAGCAGGCGTCCACCCTAACTTTCTGATTGGGACCGGGCCTAATGGTCACGGTAGCCAGGATCTCACAATCGCGGTCTAGGCCTTTCGGATTAATCTTATTGTCTTATAAGAGGTTTGATGGAATACGCTATTTTCAAGTAGGGTTCACTGGCGATGGAGAATAATTGCGAAATAGACATTTTGTCTTCCCTTGCCTTGTTCGGTAACATTTCACAAAGTTGAAATAATTGCTAAGCCGAAATTTGTGGAAATACAATTTGGTTGGAAACTTCGTCACGAAAATAACTGAGATTGCCACAGATTAAAGGCAATACAGCGACTCCTCGCTAAATATTGCAGCAACTGATTTAATGATGCATCAGGAAAGTCGTTCAAACGCGTATTCACTTGGCAGAATGTTGCATGAAATGTTTAATGTCCATGAAAAAACATTAAGCGCTTTCCTCAAAAGCCCTCATTCTTCGAGTCTAAAATGGCGCCTTAAATAGCGAAAACAAATTACGTCAACGGCCTTAACTTACGATAATGATGAGATAATATGGACATATTTGTATTTTAAGGTATTTCTGTTTTAATTTCCAGGCAAGCAGATAAAAAATTTCGATGAGCTCTTCTTCAGCAGTTTCGGGAGAAAGTAGAACTTTCGTAGGTTCTTCGGTGAACTAGAACGAGCTTGTAATACACAGGATTCTTTTAGTAAGATAACTTAAATGGTACTGGAAATTAACTCGGGCTGAGCGTCTGACCGGCCATTAGCCGTCACCCACGTGTTTCTCTATTTCTGTTAAAAAAGCCATACTTCACTCACGTGACAGTGGCGCGCATTAATATACCCTAAATGCGGGACGGAAGTGGGAAGCTGTGCTTTGTCTTTGGACTACCAATCAGCAATTAGAAGACTTTGAACTTTTTAGACATCGGTCGTTCTGATACTGTGTTGCCTAGAATGGTCGTAAGGCCCTACCAAGAAGGATAACAAAACAACCTGGTCCTCTACCCCTCAAGTCTCAATTCTTTTACCTGCTAAGAAGTTACAAGCTATTTCTCTCTAGATACCAGGACAGATAAGGAGGGCCGAAAATTTATTTCCTGAACAGGTGAAATTAGGATAAACTGGAGGTAGCTTCCGGATACAGCAGCTGACTGACCACTTTGCTTCTGCGACACATTCGCACACGTACTGATCACTCTAACAGCCACGAACCGGTTTAGAACCTCGGATATCGCCGTGACGACAACTAACGAAGGAAAACACCACAAAGGAGTCCACTAAACTTGGATCTCAGTCAGGAGGACTACGTGGAGAAGTCACGGACCAGAGGTAGACGCTTTGGAAGTGAACGACCTTGTCTAACATGTTAGAGAGAGGATCCCGTGGAGAAGGAAAGGGCCATTTGTTCGTCCTCCTGGTCTTCTGCTCACGCCAGAGAGGGGCTAATAAAAGACCTACAGGATGTAACCAACGAAATGCTTATTCTTTCCAGGTTCTTCCTTTACAGTTATGATAGGGATACGATAGGGAGGACATTTTGCCATCGTGACTGGAAATACCCGATTTGCCGAGAGGTTAAGCACTCGTCTGTCTCCTGAAGCGCACACTGTCTGTAGCATTCCGAAAATGACTTAAACTCTAATGAAAGTGGCAGTCTGATGGATGTATTTTATGCACTGAAAATCCCTCGTGGAAGGTAGTCGAAACACTTACAAACTAGCACCATAGTCACTGAAGTTGTTGTTATTGGTCTTAGTACGTTCTGTGCGCCAAGACCCTGTCCAACCCGAATACTTGACGCGATCCCCAGTCCAAGCGGCAACTAAAACGAAGAACACCAATCCATTTGCTTAAAAAATGGTTTTTTGGTTGATTTACCATATTATTACACAACGAATCTCTGGACGGAAAACGAAATTTCACACCTACGTATGCAGGCGATGCCAATTACTCGACGAACAGCAAGCGCATTAGCAAAGGTAGATCTCAAAAAAACAAAGGCAATGTCTAAGTAAAAAGTAATTTCAATTTACGTTAAATTCGAATGCATAAATGTCGTTTGAACTAAAGCGTCCTTATTGTCTTCTAGTAGATAATAATGCTAACTAGTTATGCAAGGTTTTTCATAAAAAATGTTTACCAGGGTATAAGAGAGAGACTGCACGTTGAAGATAATAGTCTGAGTTGCTAGCTCCTTCTCGCCCACCACGCCTGTAAGAGAAAAGGGTTGTATAAGAACTCCTCACCTGGTGTGTTAAATAACCGCCATGAGGGAGAAAAATCGCAAAACCAGGCCTAATTAATATCGTACTGCTGGAGAAAACTTTCAACATTCCATAAAACATTAATATTTGGGTACTAATATACTGCTTAAACGGTAAGTGAGTCCTAGACAAAAGCCTTCATTACTAACAGCGAATAATATGCCTATAGCAATGACTTGTTGATATTTTAGCGGTTGTCACCATATTTTTCGTGATCCATATTACGTCATTCACACCAGAAAAGTATTTACTGAGCACTATTTAAAACAAGTGGTTAGTGCGCATTTGTCTACAATTCCTGTCTGGGTTCAAAAGGTTCTCTTGTAATCAAGCAATCAAGGACATGATCAGCCACTTTGGTTAGTTCGAAAAACGACTGTTTTCCTTTATGGCCACTGGATATATCCAGTCAACTGAAACTGTAAATACAATGGTAGGGGCGCTCGTCGATCGTTCATACGGAACTCACTCGTTCCATTATGCCTTGCAGGTTCTCTCTCGAGCTCAACCAGCAGCCGCACAGCGGCGCATTATATAGGCAAGATAACAGGAGCCCCAGGCGTTCCACACTCCGGGGTTGGGTAAAACTGGCTGACGACGGATAGTGAACCAAAAATGACCATGAACAATTGGAAACTGGTTCAGGCTAACTCATTTCCTATGGGCAATTGATGAGAGCAAGAAAAATGATCGCCGCCTGTCCTCAAATCTGCTGAAGCAAAGGATATGTATTCTGGTTGTATTAACGCGCTTTTGAAAGCATGAAGGAGTGTTGAATGGATTTAGAACGTGCTTGTCTTAACTTTATCACTCCAATCATTTACCTTCGACGTCAGTGAAAGTCAATCGTTCCCGTGCTTTGCCCAAGTATCCACACTTCTTTTCATCCTAAGCAACCCCTAATGCATATGTTATCCATATGTTTCTAATGCCTACAAAAATGCATTCTGGAAGGCTTTGGAGCAGAAAGCTCAAAAACTATTAGGCTTCGGTTATTGCATAAAGCTTGTTACAACACTGAAATCATTGTGAAATTATTTACCATCCTGACAACACCGGGCTAGTTGAAAGCCCAGACACGCGTGTTTCGCCGATCATGTGCTGCTGCCTGACGCAGCTGTGAGGGGTTTGGCTCATCAGTGGGTCATCCGACATTTCCCGTTTGTTTTCTTGTATATGAAAGCGGGTTTTACCTTGCCTTGTTTAAATTCCGATAAAATTAAACAAGGTACTGAAGTTTTTCTCTACTTTTCCGAGGACGCCACACGGATGTCAACAAAACATTATCTGTGGTCGGTAAGCTTGTACGACAAACAGATTCGGTTGGGAGAGAATTTTCAGATTTGTTGGTGGATTGTCTTTGTTAAAACCAAGAAAACTTTATGCGCCTTTTTATTTGCTAATTCCTCCTAATTCCTGGCGTAATACTATGCACTGCAGTGTAAAACTAACCTGCTGCTATAGTCCCAAATTCGAAAATCCACCATTCTAGTCCGGTCATAGCAAGTCCAGGAAGAGCCAGTTTGAACCAGGTGAACCAGTCTAGCCACATCTCCTTTGCATATCCTAAAAAGTCAAAAGTAATTACGATAATTCATCAAGGCAGAAGTTTAGTGTCCCAGTTTAACTTCCTCTCTGGCATTTCGGATTGTGTGGGAATCTGTGCATCCTATGCATGCCGCCCTGCTTGTATTTCTGTTATGGTATATTCAGTTGATACTTTTTATTTGACAAGACACCCTCTTGTGTCTAAAATGCTGTCGACAGGCCTTAAGCCTAAAGAAATGGAACGAAAATTACTCCTGAGGCTCATCCAGCATTTTGGGATACAAGATTGCCAAATGCGATGTTTAGATCTTCAAAGTTTCTCCAGAATGAGTGATAACTTTCCGTGGGAATGCATCTATTGAAAACGTTTCAAGGGTCTACGTTAAATGCCTATTGAAGGTGTTGTCAAAGCTTCGGTCTCCGGCCACAACGGCTGAACTGTCAGGATTTTCAACAAACCTAAACAGCCGAACGCTGCAGGCAGTGATACTTGGCACATAAATAATGATATTTCAGTCATTAGTATGTCTAACTGGGGTTAACGACCTACAGTGCCATGCAAAGGAATCAGATAAAAAAAATCAGTACATGTCCTGCCTTCTGTCAATATTTGAACTAGCAAAGTCTCGATTTTTAGTCAAGAATAAGACTCGACAAGATCTTATTTTGTAGCGTACCTGTTAGAGGCTAGGGCCAAGGGGTTAGGAATTAGGTGTTACGGTTAGGGGTTAGGAGTTAGGGTAAGGGGTTGGGGTTAGGGATGAGGGATTGGGGTTAAACCCTCCATTAGCACAGGTCCCGTATGACAGACGACTGGGGCTTGTCTACAACAGGAAAGGCTACGAAACAAGATCCAACCTAAAACTCGTCTACTTCTGTTTACTTGTATGGCGATATATACCGGTGAGTAAAGATTGACGCAAATATTATATATTCCCAACTTTAAAAAGACCAACAAAATTTAAATGTAGTTTGACGGGGATGTTTCAGCTACGTCACTGTTCACCCTTTATACATTAAATACCAGTCCTTCTAAGTACTTGTGTTTAAGACTTCTTTTTTCTTTGACATATCTCTCTGATTAATCAGTCCGGTGCGCATCCTACTCTGGGAAAGTAGCCAGATTCTATCGGAATTCCATCCAGAGTATATCTCCCCTTCCCTCCCCCAACAATAGCACACGTCGAAGGATAACGAACAGGAGGCATCGGGCTGTGTCCCCTAAAATGAAACAAAGCGTCAAATCCACGCGGAATTTTTGGATCACTGTTTTGATAACGGTTTATCCATACAGGCAGCTCGTGAGGTTTTCTGCAATTGCGTTAAAATATGCTCCTCTACACCTCGGTCGAAACAATTTAAATGCCATATAAACTGCCTCTAGTTAACACCGATTCATTCTTTAGGTTCAGACACCTTGAGGTCCTCAATCATGGTAGTCGGCATTTCAGCTTTATTTATGCAATATTTTGTGGTTGAAAGTATACTCTGGAATTTGATTTATGAATTACATTATCTACTGTAGTGGACTGCATATCATACTCCGCCTGCTCAGTCGAGGGCAACTGCGGCTCCATCGGTTTTGATCCGTACTAAAATTGCTATTACCGAACTTCTATCGGCACTCTGCATTCATATATTTATATTTGAATGGTGGTTCTAGACAACCGTCCGAATCTTCTACACAGAAAATGGGTGATATTCAAAAACTATATTTTGTATTTAGTGCTCGCGTGCTATACAAAAAGGCAGCTCATTTGAATTAAAGCGACTAGGTGACAGTTTGCATACCTCGCCAGGTGCTGTTAAGCAATCCAGACCACTTCAGATAGCCGAGCGCACCAAGAAATTGAACACAATAGGCAGTTGACTGCGAAATGGCTGAGCCGCTGCAATCAAGCATATTCTGAAGTCAGGCTTGAAATGAAAATACAAACTTTGAAAAAAAAAAACGGACAATATCTAGAAGCGATAAGACAGCGGCTTTAAGTAGCTGTTTAAAATGCACGATATATTGGAAGCGTACACCGAGTGCAGTCATGCAGAAAATTAGTTAACTTGCTACTTTTCAGGCCCGACGATGATGGATAATTAGGATGGCTAACAGATCGCCTCGAATCGGTTTATTCCTTTTCCAAACCCAGACATTCCGAACAATTACTATGACACGTGTCGTAAAAGTTAATCCACCATTTCCTTTAGTTAGGGGTAAGCGAAATAATGGGAGGGGGTGTGGGAAGGAGGTTGTGTAATCTGGGGCAGCTAGGTGAAGGAAGAGGCAGTGATCGATTTCGTCATGTTAGGAAACACAAGGGTTATAGAGGAGATACGGATTATCAGCTGTCGTAACAAGTTGCCTGTCAAGTTGATTGTAGTTTCAGGCCACTTTTAGTACATTTTACCCAAGAGCAGACATACAGATCTTTTAGAAAGCTTTTAGGGGCAGGTAAGAAAGCCAACTAACAAATGGAGACGATGTCCTCTTTCTCGCCTTTTGTACGGCAATGAACCTGCCCAATCTAACCCCTCTTGAAGAGATCTTGAGTTGTACCTCACAACGCGCGAAGAGTTATGGTAAAGAATTTGCAGACCTCAACCCACCCTCCCCTCCGACGACGGATTCCAAGGGGCGAAGGGCCAAGAAACACTTCCGTGACTTTTTAGTTGCTCGCTCTCATTGTCGTTAGCTTTGCTGCTTACCTATGCTGCCTCCCGTCCGAATGCGAGCGTGATTCAAAGCTTGACTTACGAGACTGTGACGTCGTTACTTCTTTCTTCACCGACTGACTGCAGTCGGACGAAATTCACATGCATGCACTTTCCTGATGCGAACGCTGGTTGACACTGCCTGCTGATCTATGTGTTCACTCTTTCGTCGAAGAGAAGCTTTTCCGTTTAACGGTCTGCTCTGCTTTCTGATTTGAGTACTTTCAAGTTGTCGCCTATTGCTACCTCGACAAATTAGTAGACCGCGTATGTCCAGGTTTTGCGCTGACCACCTCATCGACACCCCTGATTGCACAGTGATGTTGCGTAAGGAGTAGCGACGATGGAGTCACTGGAAGGAGGACGAAGAAGATAACAAAACCATCTCAGCTACGGGTGACTTAAGGTGTCCCTACGATGTCACATTGGGTGCAGATTGTCTTTTTGGGGACGAAGTTAGCGTACTCCACTCGATTGATGGTTTTCGGGAAACAGTGGTCAAGCACGTTCAGTTTGTTGTCGTTTTCAACACACATAGCTTAAACTTCAGAGCCTTACAATAGAACTGATTAGACAGATGTTCGTGCGCAATGAAGTTTTGTGATAACGCAGATATCGCTCCAGACACAGACGCCTTCTAAAGACTGCAAGAATCTTTTGGGGTTGCATCGGTCCAGAAGACGACGTCGTCCTTCTCTTGTTTATTTGACAGCAGCTTCGACACGAAATAACTGGAATTGCCGACTTCTTCAGTCCGGTAGGCATTAATTCCGAGAGGTTTCTTATCCTGATCGGGAACGCAGCCCGAAAACGCCGTCTTCCCAAAATTACTTGATAAACCTACCCTATCCAATCACGTCATCTCCTTTAGCAAAACATTCTCGCTTAACCCTAACTGGGTGACGCCGTCAGAATATTCGATGCCAGTCAGTCGGTATCTAGGGACAAACTTGATGCCCCCTGTAGGATCCTCGCTATAATTCGCTAAACGACGCAACTGTACAGCATGGGCGTAAGAGTGCAATCAGGGTGCGCATCGAATTGCTGGGAGAGATTTCCTTGGGGCGAGACTCGTGAAGAGGAGGTGTGTTCTGTCGACATGTTATCTATACATAATATTTGCAGCAGAAATTTATGATGAGCGCATGCGGGCGTTGCAGTGAATTCGGCAATACCGACGACCGTGGGTTGCTGGAACCATAGCGAAATTTAAGAATGGGCCACAACGTGAATATCTGGTCAGTGAATCTATATCAGACTATGAATCCTGCTTGGTCAAATCTCGTTTTGGAATCCGGCACAATTTGAAACAACCAGAGAATGACAATGATGAAGACCTTTATAGCGACGGCCTATGTCTCTTCTTGAGGCCAGTCACAAGAAAATCAAGTCACAACCATCGGGAACGAGCTCATCATCCCAAGGTCATACAGTCGCCTCAATGGACCAGGATTCCTGAGCATTGACATAAGGCTTACAGACTCCAGTGAAAATTCCGTGAACTCCACACGTCTTATTGTGGCGTAGTCTCAGTACTGCATTAAAGAATTCCCCAGCAGAGTGGGATCAGATGACATTGAATGGACTGAGAAGGAATGCATCGGATTTGAGACGTCACTGAAAGCGCTTGTGTCGGAACCCGACTTTGGCTAAGTTGTCAGAAACAAAGACGTCAGTCATATAGTAAATGAATTTAGTTCTGCGAAAATTCCCATACTACAATTGAAGAGTCAGTTGGCGAACATATGTTTTCGGTAATTCATCATCAGGCCGGTGCATGTACATGGGTAATGATCAGTCTAATTGTCGACAGGGTATAAATACGTCTCGGGAGCAGGGTTAATCGGACTCCATGTTCCCACGCCGCCCGCATGACGGAGTCAACGTGTCGAAAACGGTGGAGTTGGGGTGGGAGGGGGGGGAAGAAGAGGGGTTCCAATTAGATTATAAGCGCTGTGAATGCGTGTGACTGCTCTCAGTGCGTCGGGACGGCGTGCGATCACCGTCTGGAGTCGGCCAGGGCGGACATACTGCTTGTGTCAGCGTCTTCTGACAACCGAGTGCTGGGTTCGCCAGACGAATGGCCACTGCTTCGGCTGTGGCTAACACCCGTTTGCGCAGGCCTTTAGAGTAGTGTGCCGGTGCCCGATAGATAACTTTAAAAGCTTCTTTAGCGTCGGCTTGGTGATTCGTATCGGTTAGATGTGCGAAAATTGAACTCGAAATCGATCGATGTTCACCTATACCTAGCCAGGCAGGCATGTGTTCGCGTATCCTCTTTTCCAGACGACTGGTTGTACGGCCACTATATCCTGCACCGCAGGAACGGGTGAATGAATAAATACACATGGATGTAGCCTGTAACGGCAGCCGGTCTTTGCCCCCCAATCGTAGTAGGGGGAATTTGCGAAGAATACGCGCAAATTCGTCGCGGGGACGGCACTCGCGAGAGCTGTCCTAAGACGTCGTCTCACTAATTCGCCCGCTGCGTCTCCTAGAAAAGGCAGTCTTAGAAATAAATCTTTCTTAGCTGCAGTTGCAAAGAGAGGTTTTGTGACACGCTCTCTAATATTCCGGAGGATGAATCGCTCTGGATAGCCGCTTTCTGGATAGCCTGTCGACAATTAGACGGATCATTACCCATATACATGTACCGGCCTGATGATGAATTTCCGGAAACACATGTTCGCCAACTGACTCTTAAATAAATTTACTTGTTGCATCAAGACTACCTCCGACTTGATTAACCACTTGCCATAGATTTTGAGTGTCATCAACATTTGAGGCCTGTATTATGTTGGTCGCCCTTTCAGCTCAATAAATTTTACGACCATCTCTAGCCAAGTTTGTCATTTTCGGAGTGGGCGGGAAAAATCACCGTTATGGGGCACAGAACGAGCTGTACCTCATGATTTGGAGCTGATCCACTCACCATAGATCAGTTAGAGGCGTTTCTTAGATGTCTTGTTAACTGACTCGGATTGTAAAGGAAGACTGGATGTCGTAATTTTGCTTCTCCTCTTATACGTGCAAAGTTTGACGAAGACGATACATTCACTTTAAGGTGTGCTTTAAAAAACATAATTTGTCCCATATGTGTTGCCAGTTCACATCGATCTGCAGTCAGGATTCCAATTACGGTAACGCAATTTGTATGCTGTCGATTCGGTTAGCCGTAAGAGTTCCACTTGAATGTCAATCCATTATGTTTTGGCGATGACGGTGCAAGTACCCGAAACCTTCAGTAAGTCGGCTATTTAGAAATTTGCGAAAATTCCCATGGAGCAGTTCAGAAGAGTATTGGGCGAGCTCACGCATGCCTTCGATAACTTCTCATCGGACCTGTCAATTTATATTGGAACGAGGTACAAACTGAACATGTGAATGCTAAGTGCATTCGATTATGGTTCGTCCTTTCATACAAGCGGGGTATGTGAATAGAATGGAGGAGCGGAAAGTGTCTGGCTCAGTCCAGCCATTCCGCTCCCGACAACGATCGGCAATTCACAACGAGGAAGTCCTTCGACTGGTTCGTCATCTGCGAGTGAGTCTGTTAATTGCGCTGGGCAGCGACTGATTTTGGTGCGTGGATAGAGGAAACAGAGCAGCCGACCGGATTGTTTATTCTAGGCTGCGTTCTCTGGCTCTTTGTCTTAAGAGCCTAGTCTTAAGACAACAGTGGAAAGGAGGCCTGTTTAATGAGGGTTCACGATCACCGTGTCACAACGTAGTCACCAGACCTTTCTTGCGAGATCTCGGTCCTCCACTTCCTGGCAGCCCGAGACTGCTTCTTCATTATACTCACGAGCCCGCTTATTTGACAGCTAATCCTGACTAGAGGTCGCTCCATCACCAGTTATCAGTAGACAACTAGGCAGCCAAAAGTTGGACTGGTAAATAAACTCTTCTGCCCGCTGTCACCAATATGATCTCACGTACGAGTATTGGCTACTCTAGTGCTGCCTTGTACACAATACGTAAACCTCCTGTTACGTTATTTTAGCGACCACTGTCAGCACAGCATTCAAGATGAACCAGCTCTTCCACTGACCAAAGCAGAGTTAAGCAGATTTTGCATATAATTTTGGAGTGGGGCCTCATCGTTCAACCAATGCCACCTACTCCCCGGGTAGACGTGAATTACTAGATGTACGCTAACTGAGACTGACTGAATAAGACAGTGAACCGTAGATGAAAAGCACCCTATGCTTACTAACAGTATGTTCATGTGACATTAGCAGTAATAATTTATCGTATTTATCTCCACGTACGAGGTTCCACGAAAGTGGGGTAATTAGCGGTTACGAAGGCACTGCAGTCCATGTAGCGCCCGATAACGAAAATGCAGTAAAAACTATGCCAAATGTTTCTCTTCGACCGTTAACGAGTTTTGACGAGAAAGGATTTGGTCGAGATGTACTGCGTACGATTTCTGTTATCGGTTGCCTGACATGATTAAAATGTTCGTCTTGCAACAAAAACTAAACGTTCAGCTGGCAGCAATGCATAGCATACGGATTTTCTGCGCGAATGCTACTGAATGTTCGTCAGAAACAATGCATACATTACTAAAGCATGAATTAAATCTCCGTAAGTATTAATCAAAGCTTACGTGATTCCAGTTTCCAAATGGTAAAGCAAAATATAGTGCAACAATGCGTTGATACAATTTCCCGTAATTCCTATTATCAACGGGGCCACGACTCTATTCTATAATAGGAACAGCGGAAATGGTTTCATCAGTACATGACACAAAAAGCTCTGTTCTTATAGATAGTAACCTCCCAAACACGTACCTGGGCCTGAACGTATTTTATGAGTGTTTGATAGACAGCCACAAACTAAAGCGCATGTCATCCAAGGTTTCATGTTAAATTCAACTTACCCAAAGACCTGGCATCATATAAAGTAGGTAGTGACTGACCAAGCTGAAGAAGAAAGGCACCGACACAAAGTTATTTTCAGCACATTAAAATCACTATGCGTTTTTAAGAGAATGTTATTAAAAACGACAAAGGGGATTGACGTGACCGTTTTTAACTTATCTGTGGTCGTCAGCCATGCAAATCCGAACCTCACGTCGCAAAGACACAGAGGTTCAAACTCGTACTTCCAAGATATAAAAAATTAATATAAAATCTCTACCGCTTAACCACGCGCCTATATTCTGCCATTTAGTTTTAACTCCGTTAGGAATCGTTCATTGTAGCCCATAGACTTAAAAAATCGAAATCTTAATAGCCAGTTACTGAAAACGTATTTCTAAAGCACAGCCTAACCCATATTATAGCCCCACATATAATACCTGACTTTGATGGAATATAAATTCCGTATAATTTCTTAGGGGGATCAGATTTCGGTAAGTCAACCTTATTTTAACATTTATCAACTTGACCTGATTGCACTAGGAGGTTAACACGAATCAGATTTATCCGGCATTTTACTTAGGTCAGCAAAGTAAGTGTATTTACGAAGTGCATCAGAGGACGTCGACAGTCCCTAAACATTGTAAAGCGAATCCGCCTAAACAGGGGTCTATATGCTCTTTTATAGAGTAAGCCCAGGTAAAAAACACCTACGGCTATTAACGAGAACATGAAATTACCGCAGTGAGATGGCCCTTCTCTGGACCTCGGCAGAGAGCCTTTTCAGTACTAAATGGTGAAATAAGGCTGACCGTTATTTGGACAAGTCCACCGATGAGCAAGGTGATTTAGTAATTTTTGCCGCTGTCCGCTCAACAACCACAATTTGCAATTGTGGTTTTGGACATTTCCTATAGGCCCTAACTTACTGGCGTTTAAAAAGGGCATCTGACATTTATAATACAAGAGGAGAGACAGGCTCTCAAGAATCTCAAGGTAAACTGCATGTCCTTCAGGTTGGTAGCAAAACTTTGTCATTCAAGGGCTTGAAATCAAAGTAAATTCCCCTCACCTCGTCCCAAAGTATTTGTAAACTCAAAAGTCTGCAATGGTGGAAAAAATTGACGTACACTGCAATTTTAGGGTTCTGTCGGACAGCTAGAAGGATCGGCTCCACAATCATATGAATTGCCCAGCAAGGGAAACAGCAGAATGAA